AGGCAGTGGGTTTGGAGGAAGGAAGCTGGAAGGCTGAAGGAGGAAGCATTGCTCCTCTCTGTCTACCTGCTTGTCCTGCTGGTGCTGCCCCAGCATTGGCCCTGCACCCTAACTGCAGCATTTGACTCAAGTAAGTCCCAGCTATCCAGCCCTCTCCAAATGAGCCTTCTCACCTCCTGCTCAGAGGTGCATGAGCCTCCTCTAAACCATTATATGCTATGCCCATTTGCTTCCCTTGGCTCCTCTTCAGTGTTTTCAGTGTTGCTATCTCTGTATCACCTTGGTTTTCCTTTCTCCAACAGGTTAAACTCACACTGGACATATCCTTTAAAGTATCTAGTGCAGTTTCTATTTTTCTGACTAGACCCTGGCTGATACAATATACCAGGTATTTCACAGTGTATTTTTTTTTTTAAGTTTGGCAATATGTACACAACATTGGCTATTGTGAATAGTGCTGCTGTAAACACTGGTGTTCAAGCATCTGTTTGAGTCTCAACTTGAAATTCTTTTAGGTATATAGAAGTGGAATAGATCAGTTGTTAATTCAATCTTTAATAGCTACAGGAACCGCTATACTTTTTCCCACAGTGCTGGGCCATTTTACATTCTCACCAGCAATTTACAATGGTTCTGAATTCTCCACATCCTTATTGATCCTTGTTACTTGCTAATTTTTTGATAGTAGTAATCCTAATGGGTATGAAGTGGTTTCTCAATGTGGGTCAGATTTTCATTTCTCCAGTGACTAATGATGTTGAGCATCATTAGCCCAATGTATTAACTTTTTTTTTTTTTTTTTGGTGGGACCCTCGCCAGCGGCCGGGGAATGAACCTGCGCTGCTGGGGCTGTGGGCAGCCCAGCGCTCAACCGCTGCACCACCAGGGGAGGCCCCCAATATATTAACTTTTAAGTGTGTCTCAGACTAGAAATCCTTGTGCTGTTCTATTGAGAAACTTTACAATAAACAATACATTTTTAATATAATTTGCAGGACCCAGAAGAATGTTGACTATCATAAATTTCAAGATTCATCCAAAATGCATGCTCTTTCTTTTTCTTTCTGAATTATTTCTTTCAAGTTTTCAGTTGTCACAAAAGATCCCTGACTCAATTCAATGGCATAGTTCTAAAGCGTGAGCTCCTAAGTCATTTGGCAGTGAGTTTAGATGATCCACACGAATGTGACTGTTATACTGGTTAATGTGACTCTTCAGCCTCACTTTTCTTAAGGCAAAAAATAATAGTATTTCAATTCTCATGGATTTTTAAAAGAAATAAATTGTTAAGCATCTAAAACTGTAAATTCTAAAATATTGTGAATCAATGTAAGAAATGAATAGCAGCATTATTTTATAGAAGTAAAAACATAAATCTAATCATTCCTCCTGCAATATGTATGTTACTAGAGCGAACACTCTGTAGCTAAATCTTATTGCTAGTCATTCAGCATTTATAGACTTTCTGATAACATGACTTTTATATTTTCTTTAGTTTATCATCAGGTAACCAAACATGTGAGGCTAACAGTGCCATAACTTCAAGAGCTGTTCTCAACTAGAGAATTGACAGGATCAATGTACTTAGCATTTATCAACACAGAAAAAAGTTGACAGGTTTGGTCATAAAACCTCAGGAACTGACATATCTATTAAGTTACAAGAATACATGTACAATATTAACTCGGCATGGTTCTTGATGATATTAAGGTTTATCCAAAATTTTACTTTAGAAACCTAGCTATAAGCTTTTACATATTTACAGGTGTGAAACAAGGTAGCTGCAAGGTTTGCTTGTTAAATGTCATCTTTTAAGCACACCATGAACAAACAAGGGTGAAAGTAGAAAAAGCACTGATTCACACTGCAACTATTATATGGTGCTTTACCTTCATGTCTGGACATGCAAGAGAAGAGAAGAAAACTCTCATTAAAAGGTAACAGGGAAAGAAAATGGGAGAGGGGAAGGGGAAGTAGACGGCTGTGGCCTCTGTCCTCAGGGAGTATAGAATTTAGAGCTGAACTAGTAGCTGACTAAAGTCTGGCTTGACAGGGAAACACACAGATTTTGATAATGGAAAAAAAGTTCTACATGTGTCAATGACACCTGAGAAACATTGGTAAGATGTGGGAAATAAGAGAGAAATTACAAGGGAAAGACAGGACAAGATTCAAATTTAGCTCCTACTAGTGAGACAACCAGCTCTGAGGGAATAGAAGTAGCCAGGATGGCCTATGGTATACTCTGGACAGAAAAATATAAAACTGGAATTTAATCAAGGTTTTAGAGTTGTGTTTAATTTATAGGAAATAGATGGCCTAAAGGAATGTGCTAAATAAAACCATGCTGAAACATGGCTTTCCATATTTCCAATCCAACCAAACCACAATGTCGGGTATTCTATAAAATAACTGGCCTAGTCTATTCAAAAAGTCTGTTCAGTATCATTCAAAAAAAAGTGGAAAACAATTCATATTAGAAGAAATGTAAGAAGCATAACAGGAAACTAGACCTTTGATGCTGATCACCTTGTAATATATAGAGATGCTGAATTATGTTGCAAACTGAAATTTATATAGTGTCAATGTGGCCTCAACAATAAAACAGCATAACATTCAAATACATTGAGTGTTCCTTATTGGATACTAGCTTGAAAAAAAAAAGCAGATAATGGATAAATTTGGAAAATTGGACATGAATGGCAAAATGGTTATTAGCAAGTTACTACTGATTTTGTTAGGGTGGTGCCTATTCAGAAAAAAAGGTATTTATTTTTTTAAGATACAAACTCAGGTATTGATACAATATCATAATGACTGAAATTCACTTCAAAATTGAGTGAATGATGAAACAAACATGGCAAAACCCTTGAATCTTAGGGGGTGAGTCTATGGGGGCTCACTGTATTATACTTTTTATGTATTTGAGAATGTTCATAATAAAAAAGGCTCAAGAAGTCAATAAATCTGAGAAAGACTGACTCAAGTATAAACAAAATACATATTTTTTCCCTACAGAAATCACAGGAAAATTTTTATAGGGTGTAAAAGGAAAATAAATTTTTGAATACTAATTATTTTAAATAATCTTAATTTTGAAGTTTATGCAAAAACACTAGAAATTATCTACAGTTCTATAACTATGTGTATATATTTTTGAAATATACCTTAAATATCTAACACTGATGCCCAATTGTCTCCTCTCCCACCCAACCCTCCCAGACCCTCACCAAAATTCCTCAAAATCAATGCAAGTTAAAGATGAAATCAGTCATGACTTACTGCAAAACAAATAATTGGATAAACTGGAAGTCTATACAAAAATTGTACAGCCATTAATTTAGCCAAATTCTATAATACCACATTCCCAACAATGAAAAAAAAATTTTTCCCCTTAGACAAAAGAAAATAAATTGGAAAAGTGATAGGAAAACCCAACTCTCCTTACAAAAGCATTCTTAACACTGAAATTAAAAAAATAAAAAAATAATAAAAAATAAAGGTCAGGGCAAAAATAGGGCTCATTTCTCTTTATCTTTAGGTGAATTTGAAAATATGAAGGTGCAATATATTAATTCAAAATGTGTAACTGAAAATGATCAGAAAGTATTATTTTACTTACATAATACTATGACACTAAACTTGAAAAAATGTATCTTGAGCTTCACATTTTGCTACCTTACTTCCTATTAGCACTGGAGTCCCTGAATTCCTTAATGTGAATATATAGTCTCGTGTTCTACCTAAATCCAGCATAATTTTAAAATTATTCCCATTCAAGGAAGTATGACTATTCACCTTTAGATCTCTGAGGTTCCTATTTCAACCCTACAGTGCACATTTTAACTATATGTCCCTATTAACTGGCCTTTCACATGACATTGATATGAAAGAGAAGCAGAGAAGAAATAAGGGAGAAGCGGAGCAGAGTAGAAATGAATAAGGATGCCACGGAATTTTTTTTTTTTTTTACCCTGGAGAAATCAGAAATTGTGACAATAGCTGCCATCTCTCTTTTTCCTTCCTTCCGCTCAGATTTCTTTCCTTCTCCTTCCCTTTCCCAGAAATACAGGGGCACCCAGAGACCATATCCTATTTCTCTCCATTCTCCCATGCGGTCTTAAAGCAAAGCAAAAATATGCAGAGGTGGGGAGCCGATGATACTTTGCCTGTCCTAATTCATGCAGAAGCCTCTCTTACCGTAGCGCAGGGCAGCTCATGCTATCTCAGAGCCCTCACCCACAGCATGACGGGGGTAAACATGGTCAAAGGGGTTAACACTTTCCCCTTCTGTCTCCTAGCATATTTTTTATGTAGTACACATACACAATAATTTTGCAACATGATACATTCAAGAAAACACACTGGAAAGGCAGAAAGAAGATACAAGTGTTTTTGTTCCCATCCCGTGTCCAGAGTGTCTCGGCATCCAGCACACAGCCTGGCATTGCGTCCTCAACCAATGTACCTGCCCTGCCCGCACAGCTTCTAAAAACATCCAACCAGGGCCGCCCTGGTGGTGCAAGGGGTTAAGATGCAACCTATGAAGCTGTTCGCAGCCACTGAAGCACCAGTTCGATCCCCGGCCAGGGAGCTACCCACATGGTGCAGCAGACCTCTCCTGACTCGCCCGCTGCTCCCCTCAGCAGTGTATTTCAGTCATTCTGCCTGTTCTGTTCCCCACTCTGTCTCTGGTGAATCCTCTCACTGTACCCCAGTACACCTCTGGCCTGTACCCCAGTTCTCGTATGCATAAATAAATAAATCTTAAAAAAAAAAAATGCAACCACATGGAAGCAATTTCACTCATTTTCTAAGAGACACCTGGGAATGATAATAAATAGGACAAGAAATGGCACCACAGTCTACTTCTATCGCCTAAATTCACCTGGTGGGGAAAGGTGAGACTAGAATATAAACATCAAGAAATGAGACTTTCCTGAAGGCCAGCATAAAACTGTAACTCAGGCATTCTTCACCCTTCTGGCCGCAGCACCCACCTGTCTCAAGTCCAGGGTGATCGTGACCCAGTGAAACACTCTCCCATTCTGAATGCTGGGACTTTGCCACCAGTTGTTGGTGCCGTCTATGGCATTGGATATTGGATGGCGTTCTGCGAAAAGAAAGCAAAAGCATGCATTTCTCTCCACTCTGGTTTTGAAATTTTTAACTTCCAACCTGTGATGCTCATGGAATGGCAGAGAAGAGGGACACCTAGTACAAGCAGGACAATTCCACAGTCATCCACTTGCCTTTGGGGTTCGAGCTGCCGCCGTCGCAGATCCGGCACTGTGCATAGCGCACTGGGCGGCCGGGCACATGCTCCACAAGTTTGCAGAACATCTCAGGCCCTCTCTCTCCACAGGTCGCATTAGTGCTGATGTTGGCGTTGCTGGCAAGATTGAGAATGGCAGGAAACAGGCCTGGAAGTCAAAATGCACCAAATCAGCTCAGTCACTTGAAAGCAAAAGGCTAGAGAATCACTTCAATTTACAGGTGAACCAAAAAGCTTGTAAGTCTGTGCTGAGTGAAAGAAACCTTACACAAAAGAGCATCAAAGGTGATTTCACTTACATGAAATTCCAGGGCAACAAAGCAACTGACTAGCGGTTGTCTAGGGAAGGGCTGACTGTAAAGGGCGAGGGGGAGTTTTCTGGGGTAATGTTATGATCTGTCTTGATACAGCTGGCATTGAACAGGCACATGCAGCTGTGAGAACTCACAGTGTGCACACCCCTGAGATTTGGGGGACCTGTGTATTCCAGCATATGCACATTTTACCTTAAAAATTAAAAAAGTATATATATATATATATGGAAAGATTTAGGAACAAAGTGTACTCAGGCTTTAGCTCATTTTTAAAATGCCTAACAAATTAATCTGTACTGAAGGATAGATGGAGATGGGTATGCAGAGAGAGATGACAAAGAAAGTAAAATTCTCATTGTAGAATCTAGGGAGGAGGTAGATGTCTACTGTACAATTCTTTCCACTTTCCTGATTAAACATGTTCACAAAAAATGTTGCAAAATAGTTTTTATGACAAGTTCAAATGACCCAACCCACATTTGCCAGTAAAATGCAAACAACTTTTGCTAAAAAATAAAGGGGGGTATCCTTTCTCTACCCACTTTGTTCCTCTTGCTTCTGGTAGCACTTACAAGGTCTTTCATTCTCTAGGTACCTACTACAAGGTCTTTCATTCTCTCTCTCTCTCTCTCTTTCTCTCTCTTTCTCTCTCTCTCTTTCTTTCTCTCCCCCTCCCCCCACTGCCTGTTTTCTTTGGTGAATAAAACTTCAGAACACAATGATCTAGCTTAAAATTATTAATTCACTATAAATCTTTTGTTTCAAGTGATTTTTATTTTTAAACAGCTGTCCAAAATATTCAGCAAAATATTTTTGGATGACTGGGAGAAAAGTAAGTGCATTGCATTCTTTAGAGATTTAACTTTCTTTTAGTAAAAGTGGATGATAGCAGTGAAGATTCTATAAAGATCTGGAAATAACAGTGCCCATGTTGTTGAATTCTACATGAACAGACACTGAACTGGGGAGCACTGGGAAGAGGGGGCTTAGCCAAGTGGAACTGTTCTGTTCTGATTTCCTAGAACTTGATCTTTAATGATCACAGAAGATAATATTTTCCTTTTAAAGAACATAGAATCAATATTATTTCTGAAAGATTTCTTTTCTGATGAAATTTTAAATGAGAATAGGTAAAAACTATTCTGCACTATACTCATGGTAAAACAGAAGGAATTTGAGTCCTTGATTTTTATTTTCAAGCTTCTGCCTCAAATTTTCACTAATCTTTTCTATTACAAATATTTTAATAATTTAAATTATAAAATAAAAAGGATTATATTTATAAGGGTTGCTATATTAAAAAATGTATTTATTCAGTAGTCTTTTGTTGGAGACCCCTAAGGCATGCAGTGCTGAGGCAAGGAGAACATCAAAGTCATGGCTAAAAAACTGATCAGCCGGGCCTTCCCGCTGGCGCAGTGTTGAGCTCTGGGCTGCCAAGCTGCCCACAGCCTCTGCAGTGCCGGTTCAATCCCCAGCCACCGGGCGAGGGTCCCACATGGCGTGCAGACCTCTCCTGCCGCGCCCACTGCTCCCCTCAGCAGTGTGTTTCGACAGTCTGCCTGTTCTGCTCCCCGCTCTGGCTCTGGTGAATTCTCTCACCCTCCCGCACTTCTGACTGCACCCAGTGCTTATATAAATAAATAAATAAATCTAAAAAAACCCAAAAAACAAAAACCCATCAGCCCAGGTCAGAGGACAGGCCCGTGTATAGCCAGGGATGTTCTATCTTGTGTTTGTGAAGCTATGTCTAGGGGACAGACTAGATTAGAAAAAGAAACAGAATGACCTGATGGTGCAGAACCTTAGTGGTGAATGTGTGCCCAGGCAAGTCCAAATGCTAAGAGAATACTTCATTGACTAGTAACTAATCCGAGGTGGTGGGGGGAGGCTGCTTGTATCAATAAAAACAAGTTGTGCCAGGCACTCAGGATGCTTGAGCACGAAAGAGAGGCCTTGTGTCCCCTGGTTCCTGCTTACTCTATTTTGTGTCTATCATTTCTTGGTCATTTCTACGGCTCAATCGGATTCCTCTCAACCCTGTTCACTGGAGCTGGTCTCCGACGGTCTTTCATAGACTTTCTATATAAAACAGATCTATCTTTGGGCATTTGGATTGTTTCCAATTGTTACCTATTGTAAGTAAATAGTGCTGCAATAAACAGGGGTACTGATATTCTTTTGAATCAATGTTTTTGTTTCCTCTGGGTAGATCCCTAGCAATGGAATTGCCGGGTCCTATGGTAGCTCCATTTTTAGTAGACTGAGGAACCTCCAGACAGCTTCCCCTAGTGGTTGGACCAGTCTGTTCTCCTACCAGCAATGTAGGAAAGCTCCTTTTTCATCACATCCTCGCCAACATTTGTTGTTGCTTGTTTTTTTGATATGTGCCATTCTTACTGGTGTAAGGTGGTATCTCAATGTGGTTTTAATTTGCATTTCCCTGATTAAAAGGGATGTTGAACATTTTTTCATATGCCTGTTGGCTTTTGCATTTCCTCTTTCTTTGGAGAAATGTCTTTTAAGTTCTTCTGCCCATCTCTTGACTGGATCAAGAAGATGCGGCATATATACATAATGGAATATTATTCAGCAATCAAAAAAGATAAACTCATGCCATTTGCAGCAATGTGGATGGAACTAGAAGGAATTATGCTCAGTGAAATAAGCCAGAAGGAAAAAGAAAAATATCAGATGGTTTCACTTATAGCAGGAATATAGGGAAACCAAATAAGACATCAGTGTGAAAAAATAATAACAGTACAAAACACAACAAAGCAAAAAAGGACAATTATAAACCAGAGACACACTGCAGGGGAAGAGGAGGGAAAGGGATCAGAGGGAGGGAGGGAGGAGCACAGGGGACTGAGGTGATGGTGCATGGGTGCATTAGTGAAGGAAACTCTATGGAGACTACACCTGAGGAGGTGGGGGGAAGCAAATATTGTTTAAAAATGAACAATGATGTAAAAAATAAAAAAGATAATATTAAAAAAAACAGATCTATCTATTAGTAGAATGACCTTATACGGACGTCAATAGCCTTTACCTCTTGATAGAGCACAGTTATTGAATATTTAAATTCTAGAGTACTAGTCTTCGCATTGAAACATAACATAGATTTATCTCATATGCTATATTTAATAAATTTATCTTCATTTTAGCTTAAAGTTGATCATTTTTACCAAATTTCATTAAAGGGAATTAAAAAGACTTTATGACCAGAAAGGCATTACGAGGAAACAGATAAATCATTATGCTTATGCAGGTCACCAAATTATTACTTTTATCAACCAGTAGTTGGACACTTACATTTTATGAAATTATCTAGTTCCTGAAATTACCTGTAATTCTTGGCAGTGGAACTTACACTGCAGGCAGAGCTGATATTTATTCTGTTTAGTTCGGAGATAAATAATAATTTTCTCACCATAATTTTTTTAGCAATCTGGTTCAAAAGTATCATATAAGGTAATAATTTAAAATACAATATGGTTTTAAACCATGGTGTTTCTTCCAAATAGCTAAAATGATGTTTTCCTGACTTCGTGTCATATTTTACGGGTTTAGATTTACAGTACAATCAACTCTATCCATTCCCTTTGAGTCTAGTCAAGCAAGGAAGAGAAACCAAGGTCACAGGAACTGATTTAACAATGCATATCTCTATAAACAAATACTTTACCAGTTAACTTCACAAACGTTCCCGCTTTTTCTTTATTCTCTCTTCCAGTTGTAGGACATCAAGAGAATGCTCCACCTCCTTCCCAGGACTCCCCCAACCCCAACCTGGAGAGCTGCAGTGGCTTTGGGAGGTTGGGGGAGTCAGAGTAGAGGGGGCCTCAAAGGCACAAGTGCACCATACTGACTGCTTCCAGGAGTCTATGCCCTGAGTTACTAAGAAAAAGAAGCTCAAACCTGCTGGTCATAAACTTCACTTATTTTTGGTGATTATATTTTTACTGTAAGAATGGCACCATGTAGTTCTTTGTACCAGATAGGTTTTAAAGAAAACTTCCATATTTTCTCCCCTTGCTGGTATTCTAAATTCATTTTTAATAAAAAGAAAGACAAATTCCTTCACTAGTAGAGCAGGAAAAAGAAACCCTTTATATGGTTCATTTTCATAAACATAGCCTGATTTTCTTTCACTAAAACACAATCTTCTCAGATATGCTAATATTTGAAAAAAGTCACTGACGAGAAAGTATTTGCTACATATTACACTGACTCTCACTTCATAGGTATAGAATAATTATTATTCCTTGTGGCTAAAGACCACATCAATAAGATGAAGGAAAGCTAGAAATAAGCTGTGGAGAAAGCATGTTTTAAGAGGTTTTTTTTTGTTGTTGTTGTTTTTTTTAAGTCCTTCAGGTTGCTGAATCATTTCAAGCACTACTAAAATATTTAAATAAAGGAAAAGTACATGCACTTTGAGTAGGAGGGACAGGGAAATGAAAGGTGAGAAAGGCATTGGGATCGAGAATCTACCAAGAACAAAAGTTTGATTTTGCACATAAAACCAAAGGCTGAGCAAAGGATGAAGAGGACACATATGTGAAACAGTGTTTCCATTACCTAGTCATGCACTAATTGATCAGTTAGACTATATATTTTTGTTGAGAAATATTTACTTTGGTTAGTGCTATGTTTCTGCAATACTAATTGTACTTCTCCCCCTCCCATTCAGGATACACAAAGAAATTCTCTGTCCATGTATTTAACCAGTAGCTAAAGAATTCAGAATGCAAACTTCATCATGCATGAAATAAATACTTTCTCATTCACCAGTAGTTTTCTATTCTTTTTAAATCCTCTTTCTCCATGGCTT